TTTAAATTCTCGTTAAGTACAGACTAATTTGCAAGCCAACAAAGAAACTAATTAAAGTATGCAAACACGTACAACTAAAAATAATTTTGATAATACTCTATTGCCAAAATATGTAATTGAAATAAAATGTGTACATTTGATTAAATATTAATTTAAAAATAAAAAACATTATCACAATCAGCATTAACAAAAAAATCCAAGAAATAAAAAAAGTATGGTATTTTTTTTTTTTCTTTTATTTCCGTTTGTGAATACCAATGCTTGATATTATGTACTTCTTCTTTCTTTGTCTTCCATTATACGTACGTATGCTCTTACACAGTCAATCGTGTATCATGAGTGAAAGTGACGACGTAATAGTCATGTGTCAGGTGGACCAGATTCCTATACGAGACATAATATCGGTACGAAGATACCAACGTTTCTGCTGTTTGGCACAGATTTTAATTATGTCAGCAAAGGTCAAGAGTCATGCTTAAAAACATTTTAATCATCCAAATTTTTTTGTTTTGTTTGGGTCTGTCAAATCCTCTCATTAAAAATGTAAATTAATATTGTTAGAATATATATATATATATATATATGTGAATGCATGTATGGAAATTAGTTCATTAATTCGTAATCTTAAACATGCCCTCAAAATTATCTCTTGAATACTGATTATATTGAATACTTATCGGTAAAAATAAAACCTTATTAATTTGTACATTACTGAAAGCAAAATGAAACAATTATAATAGCATTAATTTGGATTGTTTATGCATTCTTTACTAAAAAGTATAAAAAGATATGCACCACCTATATTACTACAATACAGTAATGCGCGCAGTATTTGTTACTGATTCATTTTATATGATAGAATCTGCTAATATTTAAAAAAATTATATACTATTATAACACAGATACATTTTTCTAATAAAATAATCAATTCACACACACACACATGAAAAATACAACATCATTATAAGCTTTTATTTTTTTGCTAAAAAATAAAAAATTAAGCAATTGAAATCGTTAAATAAAAATCATTTGATAGAAATTTTTTTTTTTTTTAATACGAAATCATTCCAAGTCACTTAAAGTCTTGGAAGTATACAAATGTAATACTACTTTCTCCGATCGACGTTTCTTAAATTTAAACCGGGTAAAATAGCATCAATTGACTATTAGCCTTGCGAGGTCATTGAAAGTGAGAGTGATTGCATAAGAGGTATGAAACGAAGCAGGAAGACGTTGCAGAATAATTCGTTAAAAAACGGACGTATGCATAATTCTGTGTTGAGCATAATTTTATGTTAATTGTAATTTCCATTAGATCAAATTAATCTTTAAACGATATCTCGGCAATACCAACGAAAAAGAAAAATAACATTGATTTAATTGCTCGATCTGACAGCGAATGATCTCAGATAATATTCGCGATTTCTTTTTTTAGATTTTCTTGTAACGTTTGAGAGAGGCAGTGAGAAAGAAGCGGCTGGAGGTGTGGACCAGTAATTCATCGATGCTGCACCACGACAATGTACCCACAATATACACGCGTTGTTCCTTATCAACGAGATTTTGGTAAAACACGCGACGACTGTTGTTCAGTCCCTTACTCTCCTTTCTCACTATCTCTCTCAAACTCTGCAAGAAACTCCTAAAAAAAAAAAAAAATCGCCACGTCGAGAAAATCGCCACAAACAACAAAGACAACCTCATTGCCACCATAAAACATAAACTAAGAACGACAGCGTCATGCTCGTGGTGTAAGAAAGTTGCTAAATAATCCCACTACATAGTGCCACAAGACAGATGGCTCTACGTCATCGCATTCCAACGTTTTTTTTTTTAAGTTCGATTTCTTTATGGACAGCTCTTGTATACTTAATCCGAAAACTAGATTACGCGCATACACACACACACATTGAGTGTTAAAAAAAGATTAATATAGAGACAGTATCCGATACACTTATCGTAAAATCACTTTCGTAAAATTTCACAATTAGAACGTTGCTAAAAAGATCATGTTATATATTATTATTATTATTATACTGTGCCTATTATTAATTACGTAATGTTCATTGCGCAATGTCTGATCGCATACAATCAAATATTCTTTTTTACAGCCGAGTACATATTACCGTGCAGCAGAAAAGATCCAAAGATTGACGCGTGTTTTCTTCGTACGCTCAACCATATTCAACCATACTTGGTGAAAGGTGAGTAAAATGCACGTGCCCACCGTGCAAACACACGTATGCGGTAGTTTATTAAATCGGCAAACTGCTTCTCAATACGTTAATAGTAATGTAATGCTAATATATTTTATATATTATAAATGATTATGAAAATTAAACATGTATTACTTGAAGTCATTACATCTCGTGCACGATTTATCATGTTGTAGTTAAACGATCAATTTTGATATATTTTATGTTATTACTTGTTGCAAAATATTCACATAATCTGATATAAAAAAATAGATTTATACAGTAAGAAATTAATATGCAATCCATAGAAATTTATTATTATTCGTTTAATATACAATATTTATTTCAGCAAAAACCAAGCTTTACTTTTAATCTCTCTTTTTTTATTGAATTTATGTAATGCGCCGGTTAATGCAGTGGACAGATCAATTAAGCTTGTAGGCAGCAAAATGTTAGTACCAATTGTTACGTAAACCATGTTTTCGTGTTGTAAGAGTGTACCGTAAACTTTCGTCGGGATCAACTGCGAAATATTGCAAAAATTTATACAACTAATTTAGATCTTCAGAATGACGTTTTTATGTAAAAAGTGAAGTCATTCTAATCATTTTTATCTTTTCATTAATCTGTATATATTTTTGGGATCCTCATTTTTTGAGAAAGAGAATCGGATATACTTTCTAACATAAGTTCTCTTTAACAGGTATTCCAGAGCTGGAATTGCCTTCAATCGAACCGTTAGTGATCCCCGAATTAAAGATAGAAAATGGTCAAGGCCCCGTGCGTATTAGAGCGTTCTTTACTAATATCACAGCGATAGGGCCAGGAAACTATAGCATCAACAAAGTAAGAGTAAATATATCATCGTATAGGATCGATCTTCATCTATCGTTGCCTAAGATTGAAGTTCAAGGAAACTACGATATCAATGGGAACGTTCTGCTTTTTCCCATACAAAGTCACGGAAATTTTTGGGCATTATTTGGTAAGTGTTTTCGTGAAAAACTAATATAGTATAATAAAAGTATATAATATCATTGTATAATAAATATAATATCTTATATAATAAATATATAATATAATATAATAAAAAACACAATAATTTTATAATCTTTTGAAATAAAAATATAGAAATAAAATATTGAAATAAAAATAGGATATCTCTTTGTTATATTATAATAAATATATATGTTAGCTTCAATCTTTCCCTTGTTTTGTTATATTTTAGGTGACGTAGAGGCAATCGCTCGCATACAGGGTGTCGAGGAGGTGAGAGATGGCATTCGTTACTTGAACATTGCTCGATTACTGATCGACTTCAGCCTCGGCCGAGTCAGATTTCGCATAATGGATCATCTAAACGGCAACAACGTGATCGGACAAGCAATGAACCAATTTTTAAATCAAAATGCCAAAGAGATAATCGAAGAGATGAGACCGGCGGCTAGTGCTAGTATTGCCAAACATTTTAAAGAATTTTTGAATACCGCTTTCGGCAAATTGCCCATCAAAATCTGGATGCATGATACGTAATAGTTTTCCGTTTTCAATAGCGTACTAAATTCACACACATAGAAATTTCTCATGCAACTTTAATCTCTTGAAATTAACAAGATTTAAAAGTACAAACCAGATTGCCATTTTAATTTTCAGTATTAACATTTTTTTTTTAAATCGGTATCAGTATTTTTGTGATAGATCTCGTATTTCGAATCTACAAAATAAATAATAATGATAAAATTTATTATATTTAAAGTGGTTCAAAAAAATTCAATTTTCAAATCGAGAGTGTAAAATCGACTTCCAAATGTCATTTGATGGCATTAAAATTAAGTTTGATTAGTAATTAATTAATAAAATTATATACATATAATATGTGCATATGTACATATAATATGTAATTTACGAATTTTGTTAGTTATGTTAAACATTTAATTTGTACGTCGTGTGTGGATTATAGCATTACGATTTATATAAGATATATTTCATAAAAGTAATTATCACGTTTAAAAATTACTTTTCACAAGATAGATAAATATATCTACCTCGAAATAAAGAATCTTAATCACATGACACTTATAGTGTTTTTATTTTTACTAAGGAAAAATTATTTCTAAATTAGAAGATACGTAATAAAATTAACCTTTAGCTAATAATATGGAAGAAATTGACACAATCGGTAATAAGAAATTTCTCAAAAACTTCTCTTACTTTCTTCTAGATTTTTTAAAATTTTCGATATTGTTTTTTAATTACTTTTATTTATTAATTATAGATAACTAAGATATCTAGAAATGTAAAAAATAGAAGAAAGTTTATTGCAATTAAATTAATATCTTTAATTAGTCATTTATTTTGCATATAAAGACAATTTTTACTAAATTTAAGCTCTTGAGATCTAAAATAATTCATTTAATCTTATTAATAGTTAAAATCATGAGTTGTCGAATGCTCTGTCCAGTCTATTAAACTTTTTAAACGTATAGCTCGAGAAATTATATATTTTTTCTCTTAAAATATTTATTTTGTAATTTGTATTTTTTGTATTAATCACTGAATTGTTACATATGATATGTTGTATCCCGAAAATTTTTGTTTTGCAAAAATTTTAATTTTTCAAAAATATAATTCTGAAATATAATATAAATGTATATAATATAACATAATTTTGAAATCTGATATAATTCTTAAGTAATATATCATTGAAAGGGGACAGGCCAAGACATATGAAAAGAAATAATGAGAAATATAGATAGACGAGGTGCCGCGAATGGGGTTAAATCGGCTCCAACTTGCCGGCCACCCGTAAACTCTCACTCTGTGACACGCGCAAGACATGGCAGCGCGTTGGCTGATAATGAATTAGAATCGTGGTAGGACCGTATCACATTCGACCTCCGACCCTCTCTTCTCGATTCTTTCAAAGTCCTTAAAAGTGCGGCAACGACGCTCGGCCACGCACGCGCGCACGTCATGAACGAGACAAAACGGGACATATTGTGTGTATACTCGAAGTAAATGTGTATTATTCACCGTGAGTATCAAGTCAGTCGATTCGTGATCGTTCCCGATGTCGTAAATACGCGATTCCCCGTTGCTTTTGACTTTCTTCGCTGAGGATTCGACTGAGTGATACATCTGTGAAGATCTAAGGGTGTGCGCAACGCGAATCAATAGAATGGCCCAGTTCACCAAGAGGCAATGGCTCACCCTAATTGTCATCAGCATTGCTGATTTTGCAAATGCCATCTGCGTTTCACTACAAGCGCCGTTCTACCCTCAAGAGGTAAGGATATTTCTACATAAGAGATAAATTTTTCCGAATAATTGCATTTATAAATGAAAAAGACAAGAAGCTAATGAATAAAATTTTACTATTAAATTTTTTACGTTTCTAAAATCATGATACCAAACAAAAGTTTCCTATCTTCAAGGTGCCTTTGTGGAATTTCAGATGATAGTAATGTTTACGACGGGCTCCCCATCTCTATAGACATAACACGATAATGCTCGACTCTTATGGTATTATTGATATATTATGTGTAAATCCGGTGATATAACTCGAGAAAAAATCTATCTATAAGTTATTAGAAATAAAGCAGAGATTTTAGCAGATTTAAACTCTTATCCATAAATATAAATTTCGCATATGATGAAGAAAATATTTACGAAACTCTAGTCCCATTATTGTTTTGATACATAGAATATATAAGTCACCAGAAACAGAACATTTAATATTTCCCTTGGAAATAAAAATTTAGGAGAATGTGCAGAATATCTTTTAAATTCATTAAATTTCAGAGAAATTTCGAAGTCAAGAAGACAAATATAATAAACATAATTTTTTTATTATAATTTTTTCTCTCAAAATCATTCAATGTTATTAAATTTACTAATAGTTTTTATAACAAAGCTATATATTTTTGTACATATTTATTTTTGCTGCATATTGAAACTGATATTAAAACAAGTTAAAATATGCATCATAGTATCATCTTGAAATGACTTTAAACTCAGAAATTTAAAAAATTAAAAGATAGAAAATCTTTAAAATATAAAATTATTTTACCTAATTGATCTTAAATGTCTACAAGTGTGTTAAAATACTACAAATGTTTAGAAATACTTTGATATATTTAAATATTACATGTTATTAATAATTGTCTTTCTCGCAATAATGTTTAATCGCAAATTACATGTTTTAACATTTGCTTTATATAAAAATATTCATGATCAGATAAAACATCGTTTGTGCGCGAAAATATTTCTTGTAAAATGGTAAGAGGTTATCTTAACGGTCTACTGTTATTAGCTATAAATCAAGTAAACATTTATAGTCTTTCTCCTCTCATATAGCAACGAGATGGCAGCATTTAATAAGATGATAAGGAACATTTATCCGCGCTACTCGTTCTTTTTTGTAAACGCCATCAACACGCTGCCTGAGATTAATCTGTCAGTCTCGTAGACATATGTCAAATTATACTGGCATTTCTAACTTAAAGCAATGTATCTTGATGGGATTCTATCTGGCTATTGCCAGTTTTAATGTTGTTTATTACTCAGGCGGAGCCCTTTACGCGTGCCCGGTTATTAATAACTGTTTCCGATATAATCAGTTGTTCTGTATTAGTAGAACAGAAATGCGATACGTTCCATCATTTTATACTATATAAATAATGCTTCGGTATTTATCTTCAATAGCACATTTAACCGCAAAATAAATTGAAGCTTTCATCACTTTTATATTTAGCACATTCACTAAAAATTTTTTTCTTGAAAGAAATAAATTAAAATATTGTATTTAATAAGGTTATATATTTTTCATAGTCGTTAAAACGTCTTGGAAAACATCGAATTATCTGAGTTTAAATCGTTCTTTTAAGGGTGCAAAGGTTAACGTTTATTGCAGAAATCTCTCCGATAAATCGAATAGTCTTACATATTTCATTAATTTTCTTCTTTCTAGAATCTCTCTGCGCGCGAAAAAAGCGTACAAAAATAGATTGAATTATCAAAAAATAAATGTCCGCGATATTTTCTATATAAAAAAAAAAAACTTTTACGAGACATCTTTTTTTTTATTGGATTACGTGTGCTATATTGTATGTCAAAATATCTATTTGCTACTTTATAGTTAAAAATGTACATATTTATCTTATAACAAAACGAAAATGAATGTACCTATCATAGTTTTTGTCCTTTTACTACAAAATAATATTATCCAGAGTTTCCGTGAATTCCTCTTATATTATTTTTCTCTTTCAATTCTTTGTCTCAATTATTTTACTGCATGCACGAACAAGCAATATTGTCATAAAATCAAAATGAAAAATTACGATATTTGATTGAAATTTGTGCACGAGAGAGATCATATATTACATATATATCGATATATAAAGATGATTGATAACTCACATTTTTATATAGGTAATTTTTATAGAACAAACTTAAGGAGCAAAATAATAAATATTAACAAATAATAAAACGTGTAGAATAAAAAGAATAGCAATAATATATATTTCTGCAATTGATGAAAAATATAGCAATAAAGATTTGTGTCGATAATTTGTATCCATCCCGAGCGATTAACTGGCTGTAGTTTATATAAAACATATCATAATTTGTCTCTTTACAAAGTCATATTGATAGGATTAAAAGACATATTCCAAATTATAGTATTGCTAATAATAATCTGCAGATACTAACAATAATTAAATATGATAAAAAAGCAGCGCACATAACTTAAACAGTTTGTGACAGGATATCAGAGAATATTGCGATTAATTTAATCGAATTTCTGGTGCAATGAGTACATTTGTATTCATAATAGATTAAATAAACTTTATAAATTCCTCTGTAATACATTTGATAAAAAAAAGTTGGAAAGTTTCTCATATTTATTTATAAAAGTAAAATTATAGTGTGTCATTAAAGTATACGATAAACTATCCAAGGTATTACTTTGTAATTTAATTTATCACAAAAATTATTATTATATTAATTATTTTAAAATACTGATACAAACTAAGTTTTATTTAAATTATTTAAACCATATGATGTTAATAGATATATAAAAGAAGACTATAATTCAATATAAAATTTTATGAGTCAAAGAAGGAATTTTTTATCAAATATTGATAATAAAATATTTTACATCTTACACATACACATATTTCCTTATTATATAAAGAGATAAAAATATATTTGTGAATAAAATAATATATGTATCTATTTACTCTTATATCACCATAACGTATATCACATAATAACAGTTTTTCATTCTTGTTCCCTGTGTCTTTCAGAGTCAAAGTATTTCTATTTAAATCAATTTTCGATTTTCACGTTATATGAAGATAAAAATATATGTCATATAATGCATCACGTAATTTTTCTATTACTTTACGTGTGTTCATGGATAAAATATGTGTCCAAGACCATTTTTATCTATTGGGGGACAAACGTACGATAATTCGATTTGTAGTCTTGCTGCGTGGAGCAAAGCTACAAAGTTTATCGGGATATTATCTTGACGAATATTAATTGCAATACAACAGAGATAATGGACGGAGCTACTGCGTAGCTCGATATGTTTCTGAATTGCCAATATTTCATCAGCAAATTAATACATATGTAAATATACTTATATGTATATGTAAAGGTCCATTAGCGTGAATATTTCTTTTTTACAGGCTGAAAAGAAAGGCGCTTCACCTTCGGAATATGGCTTGGTCTTCGGGATTTTCGAACTGGTGGTCTTTGTTATTAGCCCGTTTTACGGACAACACGTGAGTATTGACATAATTACTGTTAATATAATGATTCTAAATATGTAATGCAATTTTGAAAAATAACATCTTTAAAATATTACATTCTTAATATAATGAAATTTGTCCAACTATAATCTCAAAAATGTTCTGTTGTTAATATTTTTTGAATATAGGTTATAAATTAATTTTATCTATTTGAATCTTAAGTATCTAATCCAAACGAATATATCTACTAAATATATAATATGGCTATAGATAAAATATTAAATTAACGAATATAATGAAATAATATATTTTTTATAATTTGAGAATATATTTTTACAAATATGTTTTTATGTTATTGAAAAATACAAAATATTCAATATTGTAAGTACATAAAAATTAAATCTCTCTCTTATAATGTGAGCCTATGTAATGATTAGGATTTAAACGCGAAGTGTTGAAGCTTGCCATCTGTCAGGCTCATTAATTATTGCATGCAATGTTTTATAAATTAGCAGTTCAGATTTTATGCTTCTGTGACAATAATTTTGAATTAACGAACATTTATTGTTTTTCACAGCTTAATCGAATCGGGCCGAAGTTTTTGTTCAATGGTGGTATCTTGACTACAGGAACCTGTGCCATATTCTTCGGTTTATTAGACAAAGTCAACGGTCATTATCCTTTCATAATACTATCTTTTGTAATCAGAATTGTGGAGGCACTGGGAAATGCTGCATTCTTGACAGCTAGCTTCGCTATTATTGCCAAAGAATTTCCCGACAATGTCGCCACGACATTCGCCAGCTTAGAAACTTTTTTCGGCTTAGGTCTTATCGTTGGTCCCACCGTGGGAGGTGCACTTTACCAGGTAATATATTCTCAGAACAAAACATTCCCCGCGAATTCTCTATTTTAAATGCGAATATCTGTATTTTGTTTAGATTCTTACAAATTCTGACAAAAATTCTGACATATTTTAGAAACATTAATTCATATTAAATATTATTAATATATGATGGATATTTATTAGGTTGGTGGATACACTACTCCATTCGTAGTCCTTGGCTCAGCGTTATTCTTGGCAGCTGTCAGCACTGCATTCATCTTACCTATGCACAACGATAGTGACCGAGATGAGAGCAATACTGGAGGTATTATACGGACAAATATTTAAATCACTATAAATCCTAAAAATCTCTCTCTCTCTCTCTCTCTCTCTCTCTCTAATATAGATCATCTAATATAATATATATTATTTGTTATAATTCACACAGGAATAACAAAAGTCCTGAAAATTCCCAGCGTGATGATTGCCTCTATGTCAATAATCGTGACAAGCATGAGTATCGGATTTTTGCAAGCAACTTTGGAACCGCATCTGAGGCAATTTAATTTGAGTCCGGTTGTGTTAGGATTAATGTTTGTCATTAATGGCGGCACATACGCAATAACTGCGCCAGTGTGGGGTTGGCTTTGCGATAAATATTGGCATCCAAAGGTAATTTTATAAGAAATATGAAAGAGAGAGCTCTCGTCATAATAATTACATTATTTACAGAATTTTAGCTTTTAATTCGATTGTTTTTAAATTACAAACTTTTTTTCGAATGCAAAGAGTCACCGGGCACATTATACATTAAATTTATTATATTAAATATTTAACGCGCAAAAAAAAGATATAATGCTTTTCAGGTGGCAACTATTGCCGGTTGCGTTCTCGTAATGATAGGTTTCTCTTTGGTTGGTCCGGCACCGTTCATTCCATTGCCTACCTTAATCTGGATGCCCATCAGCGGCCTCATGATTCACGGCTTAGGCATGGCTGCTCAACTGGTTGCAAGCTTCACGGATGCCTTGCGGTCATGTATGTAAGTCATCGCATAGCTCTAGATATTCGATTATTTCAATTATTCTTAAATATTACGAAATATGCGATCACTTGTTTATACAATGAATAATTCAAGAGTTCTATATATTGTTAGTTAGATAAATTAAAATTTTTTAACAATTATAATTATTTTAATAATTACAATTGCTAGAAAATATATTTTAAAATAT